AGAGTTTGTGAGTCACTCATATAACTTCTTCATGTAGTTTTCCCATATTCCTTAGATGTTTACGTATTGTTTCATGAGAGTCGTGCACTTTCAGGGCCGTTTCACGAATGGTGTTGCCTTGGATTAGACTCAACAAGCGTCTTCAGAGCATCACAGTTTTTAAGGCTAAAGTCGCCTGAAAGAAATTTGCTGAACCGACGTTGACACTTACGAACGTTCAAAACATTTGGGTACCTGATGATCACAGAACCTTGTCGAAACGTTGTACATTTGCTGTTATGTTAAACTTATATGAAAGTTTTTCTTCATTACCCATTCAAGCCGTATCCAGCCATTATTAGTCTCAAAGTGGGTTCCTCGTCATCGAATTTCCATAAACTTATTTGATATTCTTTGTCGCTACAGTGGTGTTGTTTCCTTCTTGTATTCAAACAGAATTACATGCCGAATGTGTGTCTCATCGTGTGCTATCACTATAAGGGATTAGAGTATACTAAACTTTACACATTATATGGGCTACACTTGCAGAATGAGAGTTCACTGATGTTTTGGTAAATGTTAAAATTAAAATCGGAAAGGAATTTCGAATTATTCAAAACTGTTTAAAGGGTTGTTTAAAAAGTCGGCTATCAAGACTATCTTTTGTTAGAAACTGACCAAAGGCTGTTGAATAAGTTTGAAAAGATAACTTTGAAAACAAATACAAATAATTGAACACTTCATTCATACGACCTCAAACATTACCTGACCAAATTTCTTAAACTAACCACTGTAAAATAATGAAGATTCTATGAACCACTTTACGTTATAATACTACTAACTCGTTTCTTTACGTTTCTTCTGCTGGATAACTTGATTACTTCTTTTATAAATCAGCCGTAATCGAATTTTTCTCAGTATGTAAGAATTCGTCAACATTTGTAACAATACAGATTTATTATCTAGTATTTCCATATATGGTAGAATCATAAATTTAAAAGTATGCTCATTATCGTGGTATAAATATCATGTTACAAGACAACACATTTATTCAGATAATCTTGTTTTTATTTAGTTTGTAAAATTCCTTTTCTAGTTCCATTTCAAACGAAATAAAATATTTAAAAAATTATCGAAACATTCGGTTCATTTTGTCTTCTCTATCATGAATACTCAAAGTGCATGAAAAGTAAGTTGAAAATACTTTTTGGTAAATTAAATTATACTCACTTCTTTCTCTTTCACACCCCTCAAATCAAATCACATGTGCGAATATGATCACCTTTTCAGCCATGGGATGTTATAATGTGACGGTCAATCACAATATTCGTTGGTAAAGAGTAGTCCTATATTGGACCGAGGCTGCCGTTGACTAGCTGTCTTCTCTCTAATCTATCACTTCAAAATTAGGAACTGTTAATGCAGAGAGACTCCGAGTAGAATTACTCGAAAATCAACAACAACAAATTTAGCAGTAAGGTTGATGGGTTATAACGCTATAATTCGTAGTTCGATCTTTGTGGTAGAAACAATGCAGATAGCCAATTCTACAGTTTTGATATAAACAATAAACTCTTTAATATAATCAAGATTTTTACATTTCGTGAATTTTAAGATGTGCTCCTTGTGATTAAGGTGATGCATAGGAAATCTTGACATTATTGATTAAACATAAAGAATATAAGTAGATGCAAATTAACTGGAAAACAAGTTTTCATAAATATTTTATTGATTGTAAGTTTTAGATCTCATCTTTGCAGCTCCTTTGATATCACCTTAGTTACATGAGCTGTGTACACCCGAAATGTAGTGCATGTTTTTGATGTACTCCAACTGAGATATTTTTAAAGTTCTGTGACTTGATGTTGCTGAATTAAGTACAATCCTTCCTATTACTTACTAACAGCTCTTTTCGTTAATCAAGAACTTATTTTTATAATATTTGCCTTTTAACACGATTATTTTCCATTACTGGACCAATATTGTAAGTGCGAGGATTTGGACGAAAATCGTTACATATACATTTATTAATTAATTTACACCTCAATGTTAACATAATTTGTTTAGCTTATAACTCAAGAAAGTACTTTATAGTAAAGTAGTACAAATTCTCTGCTTACAAGTTTAAGGTGGAGACTCCTTCTAAAAGAGATGAATGAATTATTGCACCATTATAAGCTTCCCTATAAAGTAACTTTTAGAGACACTTTACTTTGGTGATTACCGAAATTCTTCCCTAGTTCAACGATTGGTCACGGAATCAAATTACTAAAGACTACTTCACATTATCAAGAATAAATTAACATTTTTAAACTCACAAGATAATATTATTCGATTTAGACTAACCAATACATAGAGCTCAGTGAATGAAATAAATTCAAACTAATAATTTAACATTACAGGATATCGGATCTTATACTCCATAAGAATGATTATTTTTGTGATAATGATCATTGTTTTACCTTAAATCAGTTTATTTATTATTAGCAATCACCATAAAAATTAGCTTATAGTTACAGAAAAAGGTGTTTATTATTTCGAGCATTTTAGAATAAACTACACCATTTATCGTTCATAGGAAAAGACAAAAACAAACAAAAACAGCTCAACAACATTTCCTGTTTGGTGTAATAGCATAATACTGCTAGGTTGGGAAAAGAAACGAGGCTTTCTGAGCTTAACAAAAGTGGTTGAAGTTACGTTCGGCTGGTGTATTTTTTTCTTCGTGTTTCTCTTAATTCTTTCTATATTTTTGCTCGTCCTAAATGACTGAACGTTTTATCAGCTTAGACGTTTTATAGTCTTGCTTATAAATAGCCATTCAGAAATATAGTCGTCACAGATACAGTCCATCTGATAAGTTTCCAACTAGAACAAAAGGGTTCTGGTGGGCAGGACTTAATGGTAGCAAACCATAGATCCGAAATGCTATTTTTACTCACCTACTTTTTTGAAATCATTGGAGGATTAATTAAATTAAATATTACAAAGAAATACAATTGCAGTTAAGTGTGATTTTAAACACTTCCTTTTCTTATACTATAAGAATAGACTTATAAATATAATATAAATAGACGTATCATATAAAGTTCAGATACTTATGAATATATACTATTTTGGCACAAATATGGTGTTGTTTCTGAAAACAAAAAAAATTATTTTTGTTGTAGGAGGATGTCAGAAGCAGTACTTCCGAGTTGAACCACGCGCCAGTGATGTAATACAAGGTTATACTATTGATTTACAATGCCATATAGGAAACTTAGCTGGAGCTGTGCAATGGAGCAAAGATGGTTTCGTCTTAGGTAAGTTTTGAGCTATGAAGTAAACTATTTTTCATCAAAGCTATTACAAATATTGTTCTTTTTTTACACCTGGGTGTGTGAAATGAAACACTATTTGTACGCTTTTACGGTCTCCCTAATAACATTGTGTAGCTAAAATATTAAGGTCACCAGAATTTAAAATGTCTTAAAACCTAATTGTAATATTAATAAAAGCAAAGTCCGTTTTTGATGACGAGGAACCCACTTTTTTTTACAAATAAAGTTTGGAGACGGCTTGAATGGGTAGAGAGAGAAATGTTATTAGAAATGTAAAACGTTTCGACAAGCTTATGTCATCATCAGGTACCTGATTTGTAATAAAGGTTCTTTCACTACCCATTCAAGCCGTCCCCGAATTTATCAAGGTACATTTTGATCTTACTACTATTGTAATTGAGTAGCATAAGATAACAAGTTATGTCAGAGAGCAATTTCCGTCTAAAGACAATTGTATAATCTAAATTTCAAAGTACATAAGATATATCAAGCTTACAAGATTTCTATTGGAATAGCTGTAAATAACCCTTATAAGTATCATTTTAACTTAAAATTTTGCAGCATTAGAAAAATAAGTTGTGTTTTCTGGAAAAGCCCAACCCGTTAGATAAACCGCTACAAGCCTTTTATGAAGAATTACGTTCAGACTGTGATCAAAACAGTAAAAGTGCAATATGAGTATCATGTAAAATAGTCCAGTATTGCTTAGGTTTTTCCATTGAAGCTATAAATAATAATTTAGTTCATTAGTTTTTCCTTTTTATTCAGCGTTTGGAAGATGTTAAAATAATATCAATGACTTCAACTGCAATACTTTAAAACATACACCCTTATCTATTTATCAGTTAAATGCTCAAAAATACCTAGATAAATATAAATAATGGTGATATAAGTATTATAACTAAGTATAGATATAGTGGTACCAGTTGTACCTAGATAAATATAAATAATGGTGATATAAGTATTATAACTAAATATAGATATAGTGGTACCAGTTTCTTTTTGTTGTTGTTGAGATACAACCAAATAAAGATTTTAGTTTTGTATTATTCCGATTAATATATTTTGGGTAATTTAACAGCAACTTTTTAATCTATATGTACAATATATTATGTATACCTTATATATTTCAATGAAATATGATATTTCAATAGAAGAGGTAAAAACACAGTAAATAGTCGATAATCTGGTGCATTATGATGTTAAACAGACTGTAATTCTTAATAAGGTAATTTTTTAGCGTTAAGGTTTAACATATATAACTGTTCTACATTTTATATATGACCAAGCTAGTCCTCTTGATAGATTTTTTTTCACATTTTAAGATATAATTCATCCTATACGTCTTTAACAGGCATCACCTTAAGAAGGGTTTAGGCCCGAAACATTGTGTCAAATTAAAGTTTTCCCATATTTTATCACCATTCTATCTAGTGTTGTTGTTTTTTTTTGTTTTTTTAATCTTAAATAAATATTCACCAATTTAGTGACAGTGGAAGTAGTTTAAAGGGCATATTTCATGAATTAATCTTATAAAATGAATGAGTATAGGTGCTTACAAAAGATAATCCATAAGGAAAAAACTTTGAAATCTCTGTCACCTTGTTGACATTTCAAATTCAAAACAAAAACTTAAATATTTATATAATCCCAGCACGCTGAAAATTCAAGTTAGCAGATTTTGCAAGAAAAATAATGCCAGTACAATCATTCTTTTGAAATTTATTTATCCATTGTTGAAAAATATGTCAAAAAATTTAATATCTTAAATCTACCTTCTTATGGTACGCATTTGGTTTATACATTTGCAGATGAAAATAGATTTTGAATCACGAATAAATGTATTTTCTGAACCTTTATTAAATTGTCTTTAAAAAGACACAAACTTTGGAATCATATATACAGGGTGATTCATAAGTCCATTAACAAGCAAATATACTGTAATTTAAAAATGAAGTGGTATACGAAGATAATTATTAGTGGCATGGATGAGGTATTGCGTGTCTACCCTGTGACGATACTATTGAGGTCATTCAAGATCAATTTGAAGGTCATACACCAAAACATATTAGTGCTGGTAAAACGAAAAATATTAGATATTGGTTGCTATTCGCCACTGAACAGAAAAGGCAAGTATTATAGAGTTAGTAATTTTTAATCTCATTAACAATGCTAACAATAGTTATGTCAATTATTATAGTAAATAAATCTTAAATTTACTTTTTTTATCTACTAAAGCGTTAGTTGGTAATGACGTTAATGGCCTAGTCAGGATTACGTCACTATACTCACATCAAATTAAACCGAAAAATAATTGTTATGTGAAATTAAATAAATTTGCTCTGGTTATGGGATATTTGATTTGGATTTTATATCTTGATTACGAAGGGTAGTGAAGGGATTTATTTTTCGAAAAGTACAAACAATTATATAGTATTTGTTTCTTACTATAAAGCGAAATTTCTACTGTAAAATTAACCAAGTGGTTATTATGTCTAACTATTTATTGAAGGTCTGGGGTTCGAGATGTGATGCCTCTAAACACGCTTTGTACCATCAACTCTGGGTGCGTTATAAAAGTAGCAATCAATCCCGCTATTCGGTTGAAAGTGCCGTAGAAAGTCCTTAAGTCATTTTAGCTTCGAGTGCTTCTGGCTGGCTGGATTTCTTTTGGTCACTAGTTTAACATTAGGAACGTAACCCTAAGAGTCCTAGGTTTGTTTGGCCATTAGACTTACATACGCAAAAGTGTCGTCCAGATTAATAATGGAAATTCTTAATATAAGAAAAGCATTTGGCTAACACACACATACTTAACAATGGAATTGATAACTGTTAACTTCATTTCAAGTTATCACATTTTCTACGATTTGTCTTAGGAGAAAGAAGAAGAATTTATGCTTACTAATGATTATAGCAATTTTTATTAGTAGCCTGATAAGATTAATAACACCTGAAAAATCCAAATAATAGTAGAAAATAAAATATATGCTAATACTACGAACATTATTTAAAAACTAGATAATTAAACTATGATAGGGGGGGGCTTTAATTTTGTAGGAAATAAAACAAATTAAAGACCATGATCATCGATTAGAGAAATAAATAAAAATGCCTCTGTGAAAAAGAAAATTATTAAATGAAGAAGATTTCTTTCTTATTGTAGTTGCTTAAATAATGTCCGTATTCTAAAATCACAGATAATATCACCAACGTATTTGGTAAAAATATCATTTAACCCTTGTTATAATCAATTACTAAAAATGTTAAATTGTAACCTGTAAAGAATGTTTGTTTGTAGTTAAGCACAAAGCTACACAAGGGACTATCTGTGCTCTGCCCACAACGGGTATCGAAACCCGGTTTCTAATGTTATAAGTTCGCAGACATTCCTCTGTGCCACTGGGGTGGGGGGACATAAAGAATGATTCGTGTATACTTTTGTGTTTGTGAGTGTGTGTGTGTGTCGTATTAAAAAATTCTAAAAATATTTTTAGAATATTAGAATACGGACATTATTCAAATAATTATAATAAAAAAGAAATATTAAAATTTCCTAGGTTATTTCATAACTAATAATCAAATTAGTTTTAAATACTTTGTGATATGACGCGAATAGGTTCCCATCATTTACCAGCTATAATGTATTTCAAGTAAAATTAAGCATTTAAAAAATATGCGGATAATACAAATAAGTATGTAAGAAGTAAAGTTTTGGCTCAAAACGATTCTTTCGTAAAAATAGGCTTTACAATTTCATGATTAGTATTAGCACCAGTAATTCAAAAATATATCTAAAGAAAGCAGTTATTATAGTATTAATTGCTAGGTATTCTACAACTTTCCTTTTTAAACATAAAATACCCTTTTAGTTGAATGATCTGAAACTTTCATACATAATGTGTGTGTATAAGAAGCCACATGCTTAACCAACATGCTTAATTTACCTGTCAATGTTTTTCTATGTGGAATTAAGTAGATAATTAAACAACAAATAAATATTGTACAAAATTTATACTGATATTAGTGAAAAATATTCCCCAAAGAAGGAATAGTGAAGCAATCTTAACTTAAGTTAATTAAGTGCATGGTGAGTGTAAAAGTGTATTTGTTATACAATAAGAATGGGATAGATGTACTAAGCAACGAGCCAAACGCTTCGACACCAGTTATTATAATTAACGGGAAAATAACGTTTCACAAAGTTATTTTATGAAGAAAAATTATTAATTCTATGTAGTGCACCTTTTAATGGAAACAGAACATCAAATTAGAAGCTTTTTGGAAATTTCAATATAAATGGCACCTTTGGGCCAAACACCCACGTGTGAAATTCATAGGATTTAGTTAAACAGATCATTTTGTACCATTGACCTAAGGAAAATTAGCTAGACAAACGGCATACGTCGCAACAAAAAATTTTATCCAATTATTTGATCGAAAAGTGCAATCAAAAGTGCACTTCTTAACATATTCTCTTTAACAAAATAACCTAAAACACATATTGTTCTTGTTGTTTTTCAAATACAAAAAACTCCGATAACTTAGAGTTTACTGATTACTGTTGAATACACTAACTCGACGAATCCAATATTTCTATATCTTTATTTAATAAAGCCACTAATAATCATATGTCAACAAAATATTACCAAAAGCGTCAAGTATCATACCATCTCAAAAATCATGTACGAATGTTATTCATGTTCCTTCTATCCACACCTTCTGTGCCAAAGGGACATGACATTGTAAAGATAAACTGATAAAGAATTATCTGAAATTTAAAAAATGTTGTTTTAACCTTAATTATATACACATATCAGTAATTTGTTAGAAATAAATTACTACATTGATGTATTTAGATTCTGAATGCTAGTTTCTCCGTGATATATATGTAGTTTAGGGTATTAACTTCGGATTCTAGTGCGAACTTTGTTTTATCAGTGAAATTACTTCAAAAGTACAATACTTAAGTCTTGAACGAG